GGAAGGGACAGGTGCGGGCAGGGGGCACAGGCTCACCCGTGTGAATGATGATGTGCTTGGACAGGTCCCCCACGTTCACAAAGGCCTTGCTGCACACGCTGCACTTGTGTGGGCGGATGTTGTCGTGGTGGCGAATGTGATTTGCCAGCTGGCTGGACTGGACAAATCTGCGGGGCGGCAAGAGAGGGGCTCACACGGAACTGCCCAGGCCTGGGGCCTCCTGCCTCATCTAGACTGGACGGGACCCTGGGGCCAGAGCCTGGGCTTGGGCAGCAGTCTGCCCGGGTCCCGAGCCCCCAGTTTGTTTTCTGCCCCCCTCTCTGCAGAGTGCCTGGAACCCCACAGCACCCTGGGCATGGGCAGGGAAGGGCAGGACCTCTTGCCGCAGCGCTCGCAGACATAGGGCTTCTCCCCGGTGTGCTGGCGCACGTGGGCGATGAGGGAGCTGGCCTGGGTGAAGGCCTTGCCGCACATCACGCACTGGCACGGCTTCTCGCCTGGGGAAGGGGGCAGGAGAAGGCGTTGGCGCCCACTCCCCTCCCCCCGCTCCCGCCCCAGCCCGTGGCAGCGCTGGGCTGACACCCACCAGTGTGGATGCGGACGTGCCGCTGCAGAGCGCCGGGGTCGGCAAACTGCCGCTGGCAGTGGATGCACACGTAGGGCTTCTCCCCGCTGTGGATCCGCAGGTGCCGCTTGAGGTTCCCTGTGGTGAGAACAAGGGCAGGCCTGGCAGGGGGCGCCACCAGGTGGCCGAGGAGCAGGGGTGTGAGGACAGCCAGGGCAGCCCTGGCCCTACCTGAGGTGGTGAACTGCTTCCCGCACTCCCGGCACTTGAGGGGCCCGTCCGCGATGTGGATCTTCAGGTGGGCCTTCAGATTCCCCACCTGTGCCCGGGCAGGGGTCAGCAGCGCCGTTCACACTCAGCCCTGGCCCCTTACCAGCCCTCCCGCCAGGGAATGATCATGCTTAGGTCTCCTGGGGACCCTGGATAGCTCCCTCTCTCCTCGGGCCGTGGACTATTCCAGATCCCAACAGAGAAAGGTAAAACCACCCATAGCCCAGCCTGATTCATCCTGCCCTCCTGGTTGCCTCCGCCGAGCTGCTGGGAGCTGACCCCAGGGAATCACTTTCCTCAGACACAGTGGCTGCTCCCCACTAGGCCTGTGTCCCCTAGGTGCCATCAGGAGGGAGCTTCAGGAGGACAGCTGTGTCTCCCCACCCCACGTGGCATGTGTCAGGGCTGTGGCCACCAGGGGCTCCTGGATGCTGGCTCCAGGAGGGGTCCGCACACCTGGTTGAACTTCTTGTCGCAGTGGGGGCACTTGTGCTCCTTGTCGGTGTCATGGGTCTCCAGGTGGCGCATCTTGGAGGTGGGGTCGGAGAAGGAGCGGCTGCAGTAGTCGCACTGGTAGGGCTTCTCCCCACTGTGCACCAGCTGGTGGCGCTTGAGGTTGCCCGAGGTGGTGAAGAGCTTGCCACAGTCCTCGCAGCGGTAGCGCGCCTCGCCCGAGTGCCGCTTCTTGTGCAAGTTCAGCAGGCTGATGAGCCGGTAGCTCTTGCCACACTCCTCGCAGCCATATGGCTTCAGCGGGCTGCATGGTCAGAGGGCGACAGGGAGAGGAGGGCTCGCAGGGCCCGGGGGCCGAGGCCAGGGGCGAGGGGGCCGGCCCGGGGCAGTACCTATGCGTCTTCTCGTGGGCCTTGCATGCGGCCGGGTCAGAGAAGGCCTTGCTGCACTCCCGACACGAGAAGGGCTTCTCGCCTGTGTGGATGCGGATGTGGCGCTTGAAGTTCCCCGTGTGCGTGAACTCCTTCCC